GCTGTCCAACGAGGCCTTACAAATAGCAGAGGAGAGAAGGCAAGCAAAATGCGAGGGAGATTGTGAAAGATACAGGAAATTGAATGCAGATTTCCAAAGAACAGCAAGGAGAGACAAGAAGGCCTTCTTAAACGAGCAATGCAAACAAATAGAGGAAAACAACAGAATGGGAAGAACCAGAGATCTGTTCAAGAAAATTGGAGATATGAAAGGAACATTTCGTACAAAGATTACCATAATAAAAGACAAAAGTGGAAAGGACCTAACAGAAGCAGAAGACATCAAGAAGAGGTGGCAAGAATACACAGAGGAACTATACCAGAAAGAAATGGATGCCTCGTACACCCTAGGTAGTGTGGTTGCTGACCTTGAGCCAGACATCCTGGAAAGTGAAGTCAAATGGGCCTTAGAAAGCACTGCAAATAACAAGGCCAGTGGAAGTGATGGTATTCCAGCTGAACTATTTAAAATTTTAAAAGATGATGCTGTTAAGGTGCTACACTCAATATGCCAGCAAATTTGGAAAACTCAGCAGTGGCCAGAAGATTGGAGAAGATCAGTCTACATCCCAATCCCAAAGAAGGGCAGTGCCAAAGAATGCTCCAACTACCGCACAATTGCACTCATTTCACACGCTAGCAAGGTTATGCTTAAAATTCTACAAGGAAGGCTCAAGCAGTATGTGGATCGAGAACTCCCAGAAGTGCAAGCTGGATTTAGAAGAGGCAGAGGAACCAGAGACCAAATTGCAAACATGCGCTGGATTATGGAGAAAGCTAGAGAGTTCCAGAAAGACTTATACTTCTGCTTCATTGACTATGCAAAAGCCTTTGACTGTGTCGACCACAGCAAACTATGGCAAGTTCTTAAAGAAATGGGAGTGCCTGATCACCTCATCTGGTCTCCTGAGAAATCTCTATGTGGGACAAGAAGCTACAGTTAGAACTGGATATGGAACAACTGATTGGTTCAAAATTGGGAAAGGAGTACGACAAGGCTGTATTTTGTCTCCCTGCTTATTTAATTTATATGCAGAATACATCATGCGAAAGGCTGGGCTGGATGAATCCCAAGCTGGAATTAAGATTGCCGGAAGAAATATCAACAACCTCAGATATGCAGATGACACAACCTTGATGGCAGAAAGTGAGGAGGAATTAAAGAACCTTTTAATGAGGGTGAAAGAGGAGAGCGCAAAATATGGTCTGAAGCTCAACATCAAAAAAACGAAGATCATGGCCACTGGTCCCATCACCTCCTGGCAAATAGAAGGGGAAGAAATGGAGGCAGTGAGAGATTTTACTTTCTTGGGCGCCATGATCACTGCAGATGGTGACAGCAGCCACGAAATTAAAAGACGCCTGCTTCTTGGGAGAAGGGCAATGACAGGCCTAGACAGCATCTTGAGAAGTAGAGATGTCACCTTGCCAACAAAGGTCCGTATAGTTAAAGCCATGGTCTTCCCAGTAGTGATGTATGGAAGTGAGAGCTGGACCATAAAGAAGGCTGATCGCCGAAGAATTGATGCTTTTGAATTATGGTGCTGGAGAAGACTCTTGAGAGTCCCATGGACGGCAAGAAGATCAAATGCATCCATTCTTAAGGAAATCAGCCCTGAGTGCTCACTGGAAGGACAGATCATGAAGCTGAGGCTCCAGTACTTTGGCCACCTCATGAGAAGAGAAGACTCCCTGGAGAAGACACTGATGCTGGGAAAGATGGAGGGCACAAGGAGAAGGGGGCGACAGAGGACGAGATGGTTGGATAGCGTTTTTGAGGTTATCAGCATGAGTTTGACCAAACTGCGGGAGGTAGTGGAGAACAGAGGTGCCTGGCGTGCTCTGGTCCATGGGGTCACGAAGAGTCGGACACGACTAAACGACTAAACAACAACAACAACAGAGCACATTCAGAATGCATCTACGTAATTTGGTACAAAGAATCTCTGGGGCATGCAACCATCCCTGAGGTAAAATATGACAAGCATTTAGCACTTTCATAGAATCATAAAGTGATAGAATTGGGAGGGACCCCAAGAGTCATCTAGTCCAACCTCCTACAATACAGGAATCTCAGCTAAAGCATCCATGACAGATGGCCATCCAACCTCTGTTTAAAAACCTCCATGGAAGGAGAGTCCACAACCTCCTGAGGGAGAATGTTCCACTGTTGAACAGCTCTAGCTGTCAGAAAGTTTTTCCTGATGTTTAGTTGGAATCTCCTTTCTTGTGACTTCTCCTACTCTCCAGATCAGGAGAAAACAAGCTTATTAACTCTTCCATGTGACAGCCCTTAAGATATTTGAAGATGGCTATCTCCTCTCAAGTCTCCTTCTTTTCCAGGCTAAACATACCCAGCTCCTTCAACTGTTCCTCATAAGGCTTCATTTCCAGACCCTTGATCATCTTGGTTGCCCTCCTCTGCACATGTTCCAGCTTGCACATGTTCCAGCTTGTCAACATCCTTCTTAAATGGTGGTGCCCAGAATTGGACACTGTATTCCAGGTGTAGTCTGACTAAAGCAGAATAGAGTGGTACTATTACTATAGTACTAACACTATACTTCTGTTGATGCAGCCTAAACTATTAGCTTTTTTGCTGCTGCATCACACTGTTGAGTCACTGTTCCACCAAGTCCCCAGATCCTTTTCACAGTAAGCCAGGGGTCCCCCATCCTATATTTGTGCATCTGGTTCATCGTGCCTAAGTGCAGAACCTTACATTTGTCCCTATCGAAATTCATTTTATTAGCTTGTGCTAATAAATTCTGTGGCATTACCTACCGTATTTTTCGCTGTATAGGATGCAGGGGTCCCTCCCAATTCTATCACTTTTCCCCCTCCAAAAATGAAGGGGAAATGTGTGTGCGTCCTATGGAGCGAATGCAGGCTCCTTGGCTTCAGCGATAGCAACGGGTGCTGCAGGCTGTCTTGGCTTCTTTGCTCTTTGGGGCTGGGGGGGGGCATATATATTTTTTCTCCCCCCCCCAAAAGTAGGTTCGCCCTATGGTCCATTGCGCCCTATGGAGCGAAAAATACGGTACCTCTACAGTTTGTTGTCATCTGCAAATTTGATAAGCATCCCCTCAATTTCTTCATCCAAGTTGTTTATAAAGACGTTTTAAGATGCAATGTTTGAACTTTTAATGATCAGTATGACAAAGGCAAAAGTAACATTGATTACAGTTTCTGTTTAGCACTGTGTTGCCTTACATCTGATATGGAATGAAATCAGTACTGAAACAGTTAAGATTTATATCAGAATTTGGAAAATCTCAACTTTTTTCTTAAGGAAAGACATGTTATTAAAAATATCTTTGTTTCTCACCATTATGATTCTGAACTCTCTTAAATTCTGCATTAAAAAAAATTACATGAGATTTTTCAGCTAACTACTTCATAAAAATTAAGATTCAAGAAAAGCATTATACAATTTATTAAGCATTGAAAACCATGGGGGAATGGGATCCCAGAGCTCAATATGTCTACTTAGATACAGTCAGCTATCATAGTGTGCATACTGTTTACTGCAGCACTGTGGGGACCAAACACTTGCAGTTGTGCCAAAATAATTTTGTACTTTTCAACCATAATGATAAGATGGAAAATGGTGCTATTACTATGTAAAGCAAATGATACATGAAAGCAGCTTGAAGTATTGGGAGGAGATGTTAAACATGTGTAGACATTAAAGATGTTGCTGAATTTCTAAAATGAGATTGCCCAATCCTTGATTTACCCTTTCATCTTAAGAGATCTTTTTGTATTATTTGTGTATTCCATGGTATGTAAACTGCTTAAGAAATCAAAGGGTCAGCGATAGTTGCCTGAGTAACATGCTATTTCTGTACTGCTGATGCTACCTCTGCATGTTTTATGCTTTTATTCAAAGTATTAAAACATATATGTCCCCATGAAATCAACAACTATAAACTAGAAATCGTATTTGCAGAACTTTCTTCAAAGTTAACACTGAGTCTCTTCTGAAACTGATGACAGTGGTTCACTTTGAAATAGGAAACGGCATACCTTAGTGAGCAAGACTTACTTTCTTTCCAATATCACAATCCTCTATGCTCATTAGCATGTATTTTGACTAACAGCAGTCTTGAGGGTTTCATTTAGTAATATCTTTAGGCCAAATCACTTAAGAGTTGCTTATCTAGAGATATTGGGGATTGGACCTGGGAAATCACATATAAATAAAGATCCAAGTTTGTTTATGCAACTATTCCTCCAATAATTCTTAGTTAACTAGGGTTAAAATAAAATGTCTTTGTCAAATACTGTACACACAGGTTACAAAACTTGGCAAATTCCATCAGTGTGGATGAACCAATTTTTACTATTATCAGAATTTCAAACTGGAATTTAGAAATTTAGAAATAAACTAATTGTATGAATTGGAAAAAAAATGGTGCCTCTTTTGTACCACCCACTTCTGTGTGAATAGTGGGGAGTGGAATAAAATATTGGGCAGGTGTGATGGAAAAGCTCTAGTCTGCAGTTCCAGTCATAAAATGGATTGGAGAGGGTACTTTGTAGACTGTGTAATCCTATACATATCTACTCAGTAGTAAATCCCATTGACTTCAGTGGGTATGTATGTATGTATGTATGTATGTATGTATGTATAGAACTGCATCCTTAATAATTGTAGCGTCTCCCAATGCAAATAAATCTTAGCCTATGAGATCTTTTCATATTAAGGTGAATGAATAGTGATTCCCTTTCCTTTGAATATATATATATATATAAAACTCAGTTATTCAGCTATTCTATCTCCAGCCGTAATAATGGATGGCTCCCTTGTAAGGCAGAGACCAAAACTAAGGCCAAACATGGTATTCTTTAAGGCAGGCACTGCTGTGCCATTCATGGAAGGGCCTTTGATTCAGTGGGTGCCTCTACTAATGGAAAAGGGGAGCCAGCAGTATTGCTTTAGATGTGAAAGCAGTTTCTGCATATGTAAACACTGTGCATTTTATCTTCTTGTTGCAGAAGGCCAACAGTTGCCTTGGAATAACTTCACAAATGAATGTAATATTCCTGGAAACTTCATGTGCAGTAATGGACGTTGCATCCCAGGAGCCTGGCAATGTGATGGGCTGCCAGACTGCTTTGACAAAAGTGATGAGAAGGAATGCCGTGAGTGTCCTCTACTTGATTCCTACCTTTCATATTTTGAATAGCAAGACTCAGCCATGTAAAAATCAAATGCATTTCAGGGATTAGTATTCAACCTGTGTTACCATATTTCTTATTGGTTTGTCTAACTGAAGTGACTGTTCACTTCTTGCTTGGTGGCAGTACAATTTATTGTAGGTTGACGAAGACAATACCTTTCTGAAGGGCACTGCAAATTTTATTGCTGGGCTGGCAATTAAATCTGCATTTTCTCTATCCAAATTTGTCATGAGCAGATGCAGTCTGTTTGAATATTTTCTGTGGCTTGAATTTGCCCCATGTTTCAGTTTAACTCGCATAATTTCTAAAATTCTGGAACAGGTTTACCATATTTTTCAGTTTGCATCTCCCCCTCCCACTCACTTTCCTGGTTAGTGATGCGCAAAAGCAGATGAGCTTGCTGAGTGCAATACCTGCAAAAAGTGATCTGGATGAAATAGTGTAATCACATGATTTCACAACAAAAACAGAAGAAATGTGGATCAACATACAGTAATTCAAAATCTCCAAATGCAGAGAGCAATTCATTTATGCAGAATTTCATAATCATACATAAATAGTCTGGTAAGTATTAGCAAAGTTGTACACGTGACTTTCAGTCGTAATGCTTGCCTATGTGAACATCATTGTTCCTATAAATTCTGTGTATTGTTCTCCACAAGACTGCAATCCTCAGAATGTTCTCAACCCCCTCTTACGCCAAAGGACGGGGTTTAGAGCCACTCCTAGTCTCTGCTCTGAGGACCTAAGTTTATGACTCTTATCATTGGGTCCAAGTGAGAACAGCCTTCATTTCCACACTTCCTTCTTAGAAACACAGTAACAATTTTCACAATTTTTCTGTGTTATTTCTTTCTGTTCTGTCTTTGGTTCGTCTTCCACAGAGACTATAAACAGCATAGGAAATAAATCTATTTAGTGAATATTCAAAACTTGATTGACTTCTTTCTACTTTGATTGGGTCATTTCTGTTTGTTTCAATTGAAAACATTTTAATTTCAACCTCACTTCACCTCGGAACAGGAAAAGAGGTTAAAATAATCATAATACTTCAGGGAGGAATTCAGTGTTGCACTAAAATGATCGTTCTGTCAGGGCAGTTGACAGAACTTCAGCTTGAACTTAGAATGCCTTTTCTGCTTTTTATTTGTCAAATAAATGCATGTGGTCTTTGGTTAAATCTTTGCAAAAGGAAACTAAGACCCAGCAAGCACCATGTGTCTTGCAAACACATTTTCTAAGTTCTATATTGGCTGTTTAGGCAAAAACATTCCATGGCACCAAAACCACTACTGTGATGTAATGTTTGTTGCTTAAAGTTGTGTGGCCCTGATCGCCTGACAACAAAGAATTAACATTAACAGCAAAGAGTGGATTGGATTTCCTTTTTGGCTTACAATTGTATCTTAAATTAGGTGTTCTGGGATTGTCATTATGGGACCTGGGATAATAATCTCTGGCCAAGTTTAGGTGTAATTCAACATTCTTTCCATCCACTGTATGCAAGACCAAATGTTATCCTTAAACCCAGTGGAATACATCTCTCTCTCTCTCTCTCTCTCTCTCTCTCTCTCTCTCTCTCTCTCTGTGTACTCAAAAAGAGTACTCAAATAAAAAAATAGTTTTAAAAAGAGTTCTCAAATATATTTTTATTTTGCTTTTCATATAATTTTGTTTATCTCTTCTTTGCATGCCACCTACTGCCTTGAAAATAAGCAATTTAATGAAGTGTTGCTGAACAGACTTCTTTTTTGCTTATGAATAAGTCAGTAATAGTCTGCCAGTGACCATAGACTCAATTCACAATATTCTTTTGTCACTGAGAATAAACTGGATCCACAAGGTTTTGGTAGTAATTAATATAGTATCTGCCAGTAAAATTTAAATAGCTGCAAAACCTCAGTTCATAAAATTCCTTTCGTCAGTTGGATTGGGTTAATGTCTTGGGATTTGTCAATTGATGTTTTTGGAGAACTATGATCCCCCCCCCTTTTCTAGTTGTGTTAGATTATTAAAATATATTAGCTAGGCCATTTTTCTTTCACCCAAGCAGAGATAATCATCCTTTTTTTGTTTTGTTTTTCCTTACCTTTGTCTGCTAACTTAACTGGTCTCATGAATAAATTTAAAAATAATGCAAAGGAAAAGGAATCTGGGAAGCAGGTGATTCATTTCCTGTTATGCCCTATAGTTGACAGGTGAGGTACATGTAAACAGAAGAGACCGTGGTGATAGATTTTCAGTTTTAAATAACTCTGGAGGGCTGCAGACTTTCATTTTAATTTATTTTATACCCTGACTTTCTCATTACAAAATGATGGCGTAACTTGCCTTACAAAATGGAGAAAAATGGCAAGAGCTCTAGCACTGAGTAAATAAAATCAATGGGAAGAAATCAATCCACTGTTAACATGCCAGAAAGCACAGAAAATTCAAGATGTAAAACTAGTGTTGTGAAATTAAAAGAATGTTTAAGGTGTGTGCTCCAAGTGGGAAGAGCATAGCATACTTAAGGTGCTACACGACAGCCCTGCTTTGTAACTCACAGGATTTTATTTATCGAGTAGGGTGACTGGATCAGACTTTCCCGTGTAGATTGGCTGGAGGAAGATTTAGATAGCAAAAGGCACTGCTTCCATTATGTTGGGTCCCACTGTGTATGGATTTAAATGTAATAATAATCAGCACCTTAAATTGTGCCTCAAAGCTAATTGGCAGGCAGTGTGATCAACTGCACTTGAGTCTTTTGCGCTTGACAACTTGCTCCCCACTCAGGAAGACTGGGGAGCGTCATCTGTAGTTCTGAGCAGTCTCCAAGGCTAGCCCCTTGCAGAGAGTTTTAGAGAAACTAACCCTTACGCTTACAAATTATACATGATGGTTGCAAGGTTTCCATTTGACAATAAGGGTAGAATTGGCATATAAAATACAGAGGACATAAAATGGCCATGCTTCCATATTCTGTTTGCACTACCAGAGGCAGTATGCCTTGGAGCAACAGTTGCTAGGAATCACAAGTGGGGAAGAGTGGTGTTGCACTCAGGTCCTGCTTGTGGGCTTCCCAATGGTCACCTGTTTGGTCACTGTGAGACCAGGTGGGCTATTGGCTTGATCCAGCAGGTCCTACTTAAGCCCTGCAAGACATCGCCTATGATGTGAACAGCATGACTTTCTAGGACTATAAAGAGAAGGAAAATTTAGAGCAAGCTTAAGGCAGACTCCCACTTCTCATATCAAATAAGACAGGTGGTCCAGTAGCATTTTATTGTAGCTTGTACAGATTCTGAGAGTGCAGTCGTCTTTACGATAGGAGTCGCTACAATGTCCTATTCATTTGTTGCTAAAATCGTGCCCTTTAGGAAATAATTTCTCCAAAATGCAGTGGGCCTGGAATACAGTTCATTTTCATTTACCTGAACTATTTGCTGTCTCACTGACCACCCCCCCACCAAATCCCACAGTTTATCCTAAGCCCAGATGATCAGATAGGATCTTGGCCTTTGTCTGCAATCTGACTACAGAGGATTAAGAAAATCCTCTTGAACAATTGAGACTTAATGCCTAATGCATATACTGTCATCTTGCTCAAAAACTGAACCTTTGAGACTGACATATATATATATATATAGAGAGAGAGAGAGAGAGAGAGAGAGGTAGTAGTGGCACCATCAGTTCCTGAAGAATAACATTAACATTAAGAAAGTGGGCACATCTATCTCAGCATGATTTAACTAGGCAGTGTTGGCAAGGGTCAGGTGCACACACAGAGGTTGAATTGATCTAAGCAATAGGACCAACTGATCTTCGCTGATGGTCTACACTCTGCAATGAAACTGAGTACAGTCGTACCTTGGATCCCGAATGCCTTGCTACTTGAATGTTTTGGCTCTCAAACTGTTCCAGTTTGCGAATGTTTTCTGGAACCCGAACGTCAGATGCGCCTTCCGCACCTTCCGATTGAGTTCAGGAAGCTCCTGCAGCCAATCGGAAGCTGCGACTTGGTTGTCGAATGTTTTTGGAAGTTAACTCGCGGAACGGATTCTGTTTGACAACCAAGGTACGACTGCATTCAGTTCATAAGTTTATTGTTTTAGCCAATGGCCATGACAAACTTGTAGCAACAGTATAAATAAAATAATACATATATCCATAATATGAGCCACCATCCATGATACAAAGAGAGAGAAGTTTCCAGAGAAACCAACAAACACAAATCCAACTTGTTTATGAAAGTGAGTAGGTTTTGCAACATTATATTTGCAACACTGTGGGATTCTGCTCCCCAAAAAAGAAACATTAAGATCTGTAATTAAAAATGTAACTAAGTGTATGACAGATCAATGTTACCTTTTATAGAGAGCTACTAAAATGTATCTTTTCCAATTGCAATAACTGGGGCACTTCTTTCTGTACTTGTTCAACTTTTTTCCCAGCACTCCAGGGTGTATTCACATGTATCTCTTTAAGGCACTGCTAAATCCAATCTGGTATTAGCTCTTTATTAACCGGCTTAATTAAGTTAAGCTGATTCCCCACAATCTTTTGTCCCTTATGTCATTGACTGCTGGAAAGCTGCCCCTGGAAAAGCAGTGTGTAGTCCCCATTCCAAAAGGGGTAACTTAACCATGGATTTATTTCTGTCTTGTATGTCTGGACAAATTGGTTCTTTTAGTACAGCTACAGTGATTATAAATTTGCCTCTAGACAATTTGTTGTGTTGGTTATTATAGACTTAAACACCTCTTCTGATGAAAACTGCTGTGAATGTAACCAACAGAATTTTAGCATTTGAATAAAACAGATGAGGAGCCTGTGACCCTCCAGATGAAATGCTACAATTCTATTGAAGAATATCTGGGCCTGACCTGCAGAGCGGTGGGAGATCAGCTTGAGGCCTCAGCAGCCTGGAAGAGCAGTGGTATACAGGTCTAACACAATAAATATATTTAGAATCACGTATA